CCTGTATAAAACGATAATAAATTATAAAAGAAGAACTTACAGGAAAATATAAAATTAGGCTAATCGTCATCGCACATAGAAATGTACATCTTCTCACGTGTCGTGTTACCAAGAGACTAAAAGTTGGAACAGAACAAAGGGACATTGCTAAGATCATCTCGTCATGACATATGTATAGGAGGGGAACAAGACACAAATAAATAAAAATAAATATGAAGTGAAATAACTAGGTGATTCGAACGATTTTATCATATATCGTGTTGAGATTTTCAGTGTCTTTCTGGAGGTTAATGGTGTTATTAAATTTTTTAATAAAAAACATCTCTGCGATTTCCCTGCGTCTATGTATAATGTCGTTCTTTGTGTAAAATTAAAGGATTCAACCAGTCAAACTCATGTCCGAATATTGTCCGATGTTTGCTTACGAAAGAGTGATTAGATATCGGTTTCTTGATGTCGTTGCAAAGTTCCTTTAGTCTCGTTGCAATATGTCTCTTAGTTTGGCCAATATAGGTCGCATCGCAGTTAATACAGTCGATTTTATAAACAAGTTCGGTTTGTTTCGTGTTGATTATCTTATCCTTCCCCTTTCTTATAATTATGTCAAGTTTTTTAGGCACAGTAAACACAATATGCATATTGAATTTTGATAAAATGCGTCCTATCTCTTCACTAATACCGTTGATATATGGTATAGTGAGATAGTTTTTACGTTCAAGGCTCTTGGAGGTCATTGGTTGGAGGGCCATGGTTGGAGAGTCATTAGTATTAGAATTGTGGCGGTGACGTAATAATTTTAGTCTTTTCGTGATATGTTCTTTAATAAAACAGGGGGGTTAAGAATTATTTAAAAGAGTGTCTTGAATTAATTTAATGGTAGTGTTATGGAAACGTGCGTCAGAGAGTAAAATGGCTTGATCTACTAGAGTTGTGATTGTGTTAATTTTGTATTTAGTCGGGTGGCTAGAAAAGTAATTAATGTATCTTCCCGAAAATGTCGGTTTTCTATGCTAATTCGTTATCATTTTGTTGTTCTCCCTGAGGACAGACAAATTAAGGAAATTGAGTGTTTTATTATTCTCAATCTCGGAAGTGAATTGTAGACGAGGGTGGTAACTGTTAAAGGTATTCAACACTTCTTGAAGTCTGTCCTCAGGGAGAACTAAGAATATGTCATCGACGTATCTATAGTATACCTGTATCTCGAAATCCAACGAATTAATACTATGTGTCTCCAGGTCATCCATAACTATATCCGCTAATATAGGGAATAGGGGAGACCTCATAGGACTACCGAAGATCTGTTCATATATCTGGTTATTGAAAGAAAAGCTGGTTGAATTGAGAGTTAAATCTATTGCATGTGAAAATTGAGGTAAGCTAAGTGTCGTGGCCTTGGAAATTTCATGCCATCTGTTTTTAATACCTTTGAGTACTAGTTCTTTAGGAACATTAGTAAACAATGCAGTCACATCTAGTGATACCATGATGTTATTGTGGTGGATGTGGCTTTCACTAATGTTCTCAGTAAAGGTCCAACTGTCTTTAACATGGGATCTCGGTTTAGAAATAGAGTGATGTAAAATATCGTGTAGGAAGCGAGATGATCTTAGCAATGTCCCTTTGTTCTGTTCCAACTTTTAGTCTCTTGGTGACACGACACGTGAGAAGATGTACATTTCTATGTGCGATGACGATTAGCCTAATTTTATATTTTCCTGTAAGTTCTTCTTTTATAATTTATTATCGTTTTATATTATGACTAAGATATTTATTCGTAGTTCCTTTTACAATTTATTACCGCTTTATATGTTCATATTTAACATTTTATAGTTTTATATTTTACAATTTATTACCGTTTTATACTTGACTAAGATATTGATTTGTAGATGCTTCGTTGTCACAAGCAATAGGATCCACTTGATAAGGACCAGTATTACTGGTCGAAACGTCGTGGTAAAATGTAAACTTAAATAAAACTGCCAGCCGATCTAATCCTTGAGTATTTATATATTGTAGTTACATCCTACATACAGGGTGTCCTGAAATTCGCGAATCAAAATACCATAGCAAGAATGTCGTCGAAAAAATAAATTAAAAAATTATTTGCCATTTTTCGTTCCGAGCAGTAGTTTTTTTTAGATAAAAAGGTTCAAAACAGGCCAATCATACATTACGGTTGAACGGAAACCTGTCCGTGAGTCGCGCGTCGATAGTGTTAATGCACTAAACTACCGATGCGCGACTCACGGACAGGTTTCCGTTCAACCGTAATGTATGATTGGCCTGTTTTGAACCTTTTTATCTAAAAAAAACTGCTGCTCGGAACGAAAAATGGCAAATAACTTTTTAATTTATTTTTTCGACGACATTCTTGCTATGGTATCTTGATTCGCGAATTTCAGGACACCCTGTATAGACAAAGATATTTGACTCCACATAAATAAATTTAAATAATTTAATTTATAATATTAAATATTTTTTCGTGTACATGTTAACTCTTACTAGTAATGTGTATTATTATTATATGATTATACGACATACATTATACACTGCTCAAAAGAAATATGGCATAGAAAAATTGTATGCAAAAATTGGTCAACTTTGACTGATGGTAACTCCGCGAAAAATTATCGTAAAATTATGTTTTTTTTTCAAATTAAAGCTTGAAATCCCTACTTCAAGATACTATATTTCGATTTTAGGTGTGATGCATCCCTAGTACTGTAACACCTTAAATGTGAGGGCATGGACTTGCTACATTTTTTTCGGGGATACTGTTTGCAGGAACATAAAGTACGAATCTTCCTCTTCAATTTAACAAAAAAGAAGTCGCTGCCATTTTTTCGCAAGGATACAGTACTTTAAAGTAACCCTTGCATTATTGGCATATACCAGGTTGCCGGTCGAATTTTGCACATTATATGGCCTTGAAAAGAGCCGTGTGTGTGTGTGTGCGTGTGTGCGTGTGTGCGTGTGTGCGTGTGTGCGTGTTTGCGTGTGTGCGTGTGTGCGTGTGTGTATGTATGTGTCTTCCGTGAAACAACGCGACTGCACCAGCCCAACCAACACGAGTAATGCCGAATGCATTTCTAACTGGTCAATCGCGGTGGAGGCGAACCCTGATTTTCCCTTTAGTCCATTAATGCAGCGCGAACAGTAGGCAGTCACTCGGCAGATCCTGTACAGGGACGAAAATCGATCCACCAGAGAGAGAAGCCTGCCCGAGAACTCGAGGCATACAAACGTCGCACGGGCCTCTTCCTCCTCCCCCAGCACACCCGATTCGAGGACAGGCTCGGACCGAGGCTCGAAATCCACCAACCACTCCGGACCGTGCCACCAAATGGTACAGTTCAATAATTCCTTGGGGTATAGGCCACGCGAGCAATAATCCACGGGGTTCGAGTGGATGTCGACGTGACCCCAAGCCGAAATGGGTACGTTCTCCTGCACGCGCGCAATTCGATTACGCACGAACGTTTTCCACCGATGCGGAGGAGAACGTATCCACGAGAGCGTGATCGTTGAGTCCGACCGGTATGCCAGCAATTCCGAGAGCAACAACGCGGCGCAAAGCTCCAACCTTGGCATGGTAACAGACTTAAGCGGAGCCACTTTCGACTTTGAACCAATAAGCTGAATCGTTATACCGTCGAATGACACAATGCGCAAGTAAACCACGGTACCATAGCCCTGTTCACTGGCGTCGCAAAATCCATGTAGTTCACGACGAATCACATTACTGCACGACAAGGAACAAGGCATCCGAAGCGAGGTCAAGACGGCCAATTCGGATCGGTACCTCTCCCAACGCTGACACACCTCCAACGGGGGCCGCAAATCCCAGTCAAGTTTCAAAATCCACAGCTGCTGTATCAATCGCTTGGCCGTGAATGTCACAGGAGTCAGGAACCCCAAAGGATCGAAAATGCGAGCCAGCTCCAAGAGGATCGTGCGCTTGGAGCAGTCCTGGGCCAGCGGATTGACTCGAAATCCGAAGCTGTCCGACTCAGAGCACCAATGGAGTCCCAGAATTTGGAGAAAGCGACCCCCTTCAGAGTCAAACGATACAGACGAATCGCAACGATACTGCGCATCCACGTCAGCCAACGCCGCGGAGTGGCTGCTGGCCCTTCCTCAGCTCGAATCCGCCACTTCTCAGCAACAGCTGCAACTGGCTCCAGAGATCGCGCGCCTCTTCAACAGATTGAACGCTAGTGACGATATCGTCGACGTACAGCGACGACATTAGCGCGTCCGACGCCAGCGGGTAGCCGATTCTACCTTCCTCGGCCAGTTGAAGCAAGCAACGGATTGTGAAGTAAGGAGAAGGAGCGATTCCGAAGGTGACAGTCTTCAACCGATAGTATAGATATAGGTTCGTCTTCTGAAAAGCGCCACACCAGTCTCTGATAGTCGCGTTGACCCGGTTCAATCCACACTTGACGAAACATTTGTTTTACATCGGCAGTCAGGGCCATCGATCCTATACGAAAACGAATTAAGATTGCCATCAGATCCTGCTGCAGTTTAGGTCCGCATAACAGGGTCTGATTCAACGAAATTCCAATGGTACACTTGGAAGAGGCATCGAACACAACGCGCAACTTCATGGTACTACTCTCGAGCTTTGTTACGCCATGATGGGGCAGATAATAGATCGGCCCGTCGACTGGGTAGGGTCGCTCTATTAGTTCCATATGCCCACTGTCAAGATAATCCTGCATGAAGTTGCAGTAATCAGTCTTGAAGGTGACGTCCGCTTTGAAACGACGCTCGAGCGAACGAAATCTATTGAGTGCTATAGAGCGAGAATCAACAAAGCAAGGTGGATCCCTTGAAAAGGGATACGATACCACGAAACGACCAGATGACTCACGACGAGTAGTTTGCTTGAACAACTCCTCGCAGCGTATGTCTTCCTTAGAGCCAGAAGGAGAATCAGGGATTTCCTCCAGTCGCCAGAATCTACCCACCGCGTCATCAATTGAATCGAGAGTCGTCATGAAGGAATGAGAGACTCTCGGAGAGTGAGGGGAGACCGCGCCCATCAGCACCCAACCGAATATTGTGTTGAAGACGTCGGGTTCTCCTCCTCCTCCCTTTCGACAACCATCACGAAGAATCGAGACGAATACCTCTGCGCCCAAGAGGACGTCGATCGAGCGAGGGAAGTAATACTTGGGGTCGGCAAGCGGCAACCCGTCCAAATGCTCCCAGTGTCGATTCCCAATCCCGCCGTTCGGCAAGGGTAAAGAAATGCGAAATAGTACCGTAGCCTCAATCGGTAGACGAATATCGGCCCGACTCGGTACCTGCATCACGACTGATTATTGCAACTTCATGCAGGATTATCTTGACAGAGGGCATATGGAACTAATAGAGCGACCCTACCCAGTCGACGGGCTGATCTATTATCTGCCCCATCATGGCGTAACAAAGCTGCCTTTAGCAGTGGCGGCCTTGACGTCATTGACTCCGTAAACGAGCATACGATGCTTAGAGCGTTCAAAGCCGCCTCTGCGTAGACAGCTCTCTGTAATGAAATTCGATTGGCTAGCACTATCCAATAATACACGAACCGGGAACCTGTTACCATGAATGTCAAGGATCTCGGCTTTGACGGTAGACAATACGTCATATA